CGGGTTCATGATGGGCTCGTCAAAGTATAGTTGGAAATACTCTTAACTCTGTAGACTCATCCATGGTAAGACATTCAGAGAGGATGCCACTTCCACCGGCATCAAAATTGAAAGAATGTGGTACAAATGTTGTACATTCTTTCCATTTCCATTCATGGTCTGATTGTGCATGGTGGACCTGTGGCATATTGCGTGGGGGAGCAGGAGGAGGGACGAGTCCTTTGTCTGCCTGCCCAGCATGCTATGTGGCCCGTGCACCATGCCACCCACCTCTTCCACCTCCACCTCCTCCTCCACCCCCAAATATTCCCATTCATGGTCAGTATTACTATCAGTGGCTGGGTTTTCGACCGTGACCTCCCAAGACCCTTGGGGATTGCATATGGCACACTGTCTGAATGTAGGCGACGATGCTTAAAGGTACGCTTCACTGGGGAATAATGTACATGTATATCACTGTCACTCGTAGAATCCCCTAAGGGCATAAAATAAGTCTCATCATCACTGATACAGGTCCACATCCTTTTATCTGAAATTTGAAAAGTTTCGAAAACCAAAGCTTTTTCGTGGAGTGTGGAGCGTCAGTCATCTCCATGCTGGGTCATGCCACAATGTGACGCCGTTGAGAATCATTCTGAAATTTGAAAAAGTCTGAAATTCGAAACAATACAGGCTCCAAGGGTTTCAGATAAAGGGACGTGCACCTGTATCACTTTCACTATCATCATCACGAAACTGTGGGAAAATGTTAATTTTTACTTACTAGTAATGCTGGGCACCCCAGAGGTGCTGGGCTGAGGGTCTGGTATGGCCACACTGGCCACCCTAGAGGTACTTGTGTGAAGGTCTGGTGTGGTCACACTGGAATTAGAGCAAAAACTTAGGATGTCATACCTAACTGAAGAAGTACAAAGGGAACAAAAGGCCAAACAGGATGTTGCAAGAAACTCAAAATATTTCTGTTCCTGTGCAAAATCCAAGCTAAGAACTACCTGTAGAATTGGACATTATAGAGGAGGCTCATATACTGACGATGAACAGGAATTGAGTGAAATTCTAAAAGAACAGTACGAGTTGGTGTTCACTAAATAACATCAAGGTAGAGAATGCAGAAACATTTTTCACTCCAGCAGAAGGCCATGCAGATCAACTAATGGATATTAGTACAAATCCCATGGATTTCGAGAAAGAAATGGATAACATGGCCACTCATTCAGCACCTGGACCAGATTCATGGCATGCTCTATTTATAAAAAATTGCAAAGTACCACTAGCATGAGCCTTCAGTGTACTTTGGAGAAAGACCCTAGATCTAGGTGAAAAACTGGAGACCTTAGAGTGCAGAAATAGCTCCTTTGCATAAGGAAGGTAGTAGAGCACTAGCAAAAAATTACAGACCAGTAGCCCTAACTTCCCACATCATAAAAATGTTAGGAAGATTGACGAGATGGCAGATTACAAATTTCGTGGACTAGCACAACCGGCATAACCCAAACCAGTATGGTTTTAGAGCAGGACGATCATGCCTGTCACAGCTACTGAACCACTTTGACAGAATTACAGAGGCGTTGGAAGACAACTGAAACGCAGATGTGATATACACAGATTTTGCAAAGGCATTTGACAAATGAGGGCCATATACATTACAGTGAATGTAGGCAGATTGATTTTCAGGTTCCTAACACACACAACACAAAAAGTAGTAGTAAACAGAATAAAATCTAGCACCAGTGAGGTAAAAAGCTGTTTCCCAAGGCACTGTCCTAACACCTCTGCTGTTTCTCATCCTCATAGTAGACATAGATAATGCCTGTCACAGTTTTGTATCATCATTTACAGATGACATTAAAATAAGCATGAAAGTCACTACGGTAGAAGATACTGAAAAATTACAATACTATATAACCAGTGTTTTCCAATGGGCAGTGGAGAACAACATGACATTCAGTGGTGATAAGTTCCAGCTGCTTAGGTATGGAAAGAATGAGCTCAAAAGGAACACTGTATACAAAACTCAAGAGGATCACCAAATAGAACGTAAAGTACACATTAAAGACTTGCGAAAAATTATGTCAACTGACCTTTCTTTCAAAGATCTTAATAAGACAAAGATCACGGCAACCAGGAGGATGAAGGGGTGGTTATTGAAAACTTTCAAAAGAAAGGAAATAATGACTATAGTGACACAGTTCAACTCACTAGTGCTACTTCATTTGGAATGTTGTTCAGTGTTGATGGCCCCATTCAAGGCAGGAGAAATATCAGAACTTGAGGAAATACAGAGATCATTTGTGGCCCACATGGAGCCGGTAAAACATTTAAGTTACTGGAAACACCTTAAAGTCTTAAACATGTACTCATTGTGGCAGAGGAGAGAGAGAGAGAGAGAGAGAGATACATATATACATGATAATATATCTGGAAAGTACTCAAGGGCCTGGCCCCAAATCTCCACACTGCCATAACATACTGGAGTGAGAGAGATGTGGGGCAGCGGGTCTCCAGCAGCAAAGTCTGGTTGACCAGGCAAGCACCAGATGAGCCTGGCCCATGGCCAGGCTCTGAGAGTATTAAGACTCTTGAAACTCATCAACGGTATCAAAGGAACCCCAGAGGTGATGGGCTGAGGGCCATCCTGGCTGTCCTCAAAATTTTCACTGATTCCTCGATGATTTGTGGCCACATCTGTCTCAAGTCCACTAAACTTGGGTTCTTTATTGCTTTCCTCGAATAAGTGTGTGTTGATGTGATGGGGCATGAGTCAGTACTGCGGGTTAGTCATGATGTTGACCTAAACTGGTACTGAAACTAACTGGTGCTCCCATGTGGTACTGTAGGGGGTCCCCAATTTTTTTTTAATACTGAGCACACTGAGTATGAAAACCCATTCTCTAATGTTTGGGCCCCTCAGGCCTATCACACCAAATTTGAAGGCAGGAAAACTAAAGCATTGATCTAGCAGTAAGATGTAGAACTACGTTTGGACAGTTAAAGGGCTACATGGAAGGTTTTGTGGATGTATACCTGAGTGCTTTGCAGTAAATATTTTCTCTTTAAGGTGTAATAATTAAAAATTTATTACTGATCATTTTTTGTTTTGTTACTTTAATTTTGTTTGTTGACTTCGAAGTGGATGGTATAGAAGTATGAGGATTGAAGAATGGCTGAGAATTATCACAGTTTATTCTAGCCATCTGTATTTTTAGATTTAATACCGTGCTGTACTTGATATGTTTGTGTAATATGAACATAAGAAAGGAGGAACACTGCAGCAGGCCTGTTGGCCCATACTTGGCAGGTCCTTTACAATCCATCCCACTAACAAAACATTTGCCTAACCCAATTTTCAATGCCACCCAAGAAATAAGCTCTTGACAATTTAAAACCCTGAATGTGACATTCTGCAGGCATGTCCTGACTTTTTTAATTAAACCAAGTCTCAGTTAGGGCAAATACATCAATGCTACCTGCACTAGCAACTAATCTCAACTCGTCCATCTTATTCCTAGCACTACGGGAATTAACCCTTTGACTGTTTTCGACGTATAAATACGTCTTATGAGCCAATGTTTCTGACGTATATATACTCAATAATTCTAGCGGCTTCAAATCAAGCGGGAGAAAGCTGGTAGGCCCACATGTGAGAGAATGGGTCTGTGTGGTCAGTGTGCACCACATAAAAAAAATCCTGCAGCACACATTGCGTAATGAGAAAAAAAAAACTGATCGTTTTTTTGGAATAAAACGCCGACTTTGAGGTGTATTTTCGTATAGTATTTATCATTGTATTCGCGTTTTCATGGTCTTAGGTGATAAAATGGAAAACATATTACAGAAATAGAGATGATTTTCATTACTTTGATGATGAAAAGGACCTTGAAACTGAGCTCAAAGTAGCGGAAATGTTCGATTTTTACCAATGTTCAGGAGTAAATAAATCACACCACACGTCCAATACACGTCAACTGGGGAGTCTAATATTCTTTCACTAGTGCACTGATATTATTTATGCTATTTTTACAATAATGCAGTAGTCTGCATAACAGTAAATTTTGTATTTTTTGTATGAATAAAAAATCAAAATAGAAAGCAATAATAATATAAGAGGAGCCTAGAGATGTGACTAATGAACAGAGCATATGTTATTTTAGTACCACGAATGTCTACCTTGTTTATTCTGGACCCTATTTTGAAATTGGCATCTTTTTTAGTTTGCGTGAAATTGGCCAAATTGCCAATTTCTGACCACCATATTGGGTAGTCCAAATTAGTAAATGAGAGGTTTCTTGCACTCAGCTGATAGATAAAATGGAGTTCTAAAGAAATAGCTATGAGTTTGGTCAACTGGAACAATGGAATTAGCTGAAAATAGGGCTCAAAGTCGGCGAAATCGCCGATACGCATATGTCGCAGAGACCGCTAACTTCGCGGGAGCATAATTCCATGAGTTTTCGACCAAATCTCGAACTTTTGGTGTCATTACCATCGGGAAAAGATTCTCTATCATTTCATAAGAAAAAATAATTTTTTTTTTTTTTTAAAAAATGAGCGACATAGAATGACAGTTTCAGAAAGGGGCCTGAAACAGTCAAAGGGTTAATGTAGCAGTTGTTTAATACTGCACTGTACTTGATATGTTTGTGTTATGGTGTAGCAGTTGTTTAGTACTGTACTGTACTGTACTTGGTATGTTATGGCATAGTCATTTTCATTCATTTTATAAGTTAGCACTCTGGTATGTACTATGTTCACATTTTTGCATTGGTTTACATGAATATGACCTGCAAGCCAACAGTTATAGTTTGGAGGATGAAAATTGATGAAGGAAATTCTGATGCTTTGACTTCTAAGTTTGTCTGTGTGTATTACATTAATGATTGTAATCAGTTGATACATTTTGACAAGATCTATTATTTATCTTTGGCAGAGTTGATTTTATCACCAATTAGCCAGTGTGTAGTCAGTACACAGTAATTTAATAAATCATCTATATATTGCAGATCCATAGCAATCAGAAGATTTTGTGCACTCTCTGGGTCAGTGTTTTTGCTTCGATGTGCCACCATGTTCATCACCAGCCTCTCAGTGCCTGGCTCTCACCTCCAGTGTGAACCCAGGGTCAGTTCTTTACTTTTCTTTTGTAGCCTTCCCCATTGCAAGATGACCAGCATTAAAAAAAGAAAAAGAAAACTAGCTTATGAAGATAGTACATAATAAAAATAGTTTTAATTTTGGACCCATAGTACATAATAAGAATAGTCTTAATTTTGGACCCATACTGAAAAGCAGTGGTAAGCTAATAATTGATACCTAGTTGAGCTATAGTAATTCTGAATTTGCTTTGTGTAATGCCTGACTAGACCACCACATAAAGCTTGGTCTACTAAAGATCTGTATTTCATCATACAAGATTTGAAGACTTGCACAATGAAAATGGTCTGCTGGATGAAAGTTGGATCTATTGGCTTCTAACTATACTGTAAATTTTTTAAATGTTTGTTTTAGATAAGTGATTAATATGTACAGTGGACCCCCGGATTACGTAATTAATCTGTTCCAGAGAGTGACTTATCCTGAATCTGACTCCTAATTAATTTTTCCCTTAAGAAATAATGGAAATCCAATTAATCCATTTCAGACACCCAAAAGTATTAAAAAAATGTTTTCTACATGAAATATACATTTACCTACACAGAAAACAATGATACATGAAGAATAAATCATTAATAACATCACCTTTATGGAAGACGAGAGTAGGGGAGAGGATGGAGTTTACAATTGTCTGGAAGGGAAATCCCCTTCCATAGAGACTTCAGGTACCAAGTCCTTATCCTGGGTTACTTCCCTCCTTTGTTTTTTAATGCCACTAGGACCAGCTTGAGAGTCACTGGACCCCTGTCGCTCAAAAACAGTGTTCCAGAGAGGTCTGTTTCTGGCGTATGTTAGGAATTGTGTTGGGAGACAGGACAAGATAATCCTTCAATATGACACTAATATCAGCTCTACATTTTTTTTTTTTTTTCAACAAACCAGCTGTATCCCACCAAGGCAGGGTGGCCCAAAAAGAAAAACGAAAGTTTCTCTCTTTAAATTTAGTAATTTATACTGGAGAAGGGGTTACTAGCCCCTTACTCCTGGCATTTTAGTCGCCTCTTACAACACGCATAGCTTATGGAGAAAGAATTTTTTTCCACTTCCCCATGGAGATAAGAGGAAATAAACAAGAACAAGAACTAGAAAGAAAATAGAAAACCCAGAGGGGTGTGTGTGTATATATATACTTGTACATATATGTGTAGTGTGACCTAAGTGTAAGTAGAAGTAGCAAGACGTACTTGAAATCTTGCATATTTATGAGACAGAAAAAGCACCAGCAATTCTACCATCATGTAAAACAATTACAGGCTTTCGTTTTACACTCACTTGGCAGGACGGTAGTACCTCACTGGGCAGTTGCTGTCTACCAACCTACTACCTTTAACGGCTTATTTATCTAGCACAATTCATCTAACAATTCATCACAATATTAATAATATAGAAACATGATATATATTCTAGAATGAATAAAATATGGCATTAGGAATGTCACGAGTGATGGTGTGTTGTTTGTTGTTGGGTGTATAAGGGCCACTGAAAGATAAACCTTGCATAGTGGTGGTGAAGGCAGCAGCAGAGATGTCGGTGTTAGTCAGTAGCCCTATATACCTCCAACAACAGTGCTAGAGTCAGTTTCATGCTGTCCTTTTTCTATCGATTAATCGCTTAACTTACTTGCTACGCTGTTAATGATGCACTTTATCACTGACTGGTGCTGCTACGCTGTTAATGATGCACTTTATCACTGACTGGTGCTATAACCTTTATAGACTCCTGCTGCTTTAGTATCATACATATTGCAGAATCACTGAAAAAGGCACATTCTTCCCTCTCTCTCAGCCCTTTACCAAAGGGCTGGCTGGCACTAGAAACTTTCTTTGGGCCCATGGTGGCTTATTTAGCAGTTAAAAGCACTAAAAAGAATGAAATAATACAAAATGTACAGTATGAACGTGTGGGATCGTCCTCACTGGCTGGTAAACAATGGCACATTGGCTGTACATGGAGTGTCACGGCCGCTCAGGCCCTGACACGAATGACTTATACCGAGTTCAGTGACGTTCACCAAGCCAGTATTTTGACGAAAAAAACATTACTTATTCCAATGACGACTTAATCCGGGGGTCCACTGTGTTTTCCTTTACTGTAGTAGAGTAAGAGGAAACTAGAATACATGGCAAAAAGTTAGTAGATAAAAAAAATTAAGTAGGGACTGTTAGAAGTATGAGCAGTTGTTGGAAAAAGGTGACATAAGTGAAGGTAGTGAGGACATTAAAAATGTGTTGCATGGGATCCATAATGTATTGTTAGTAGCACAGAGCAGAAAGAAAGTACCCAAGAGTTGTCAGAAAACATTAAAGTTTCCTTGTGTAATTGGAAAATAAAGTGTGTGTAAAACTTGTAGGGATATTAATTCTCAAAGTGTAATATATAAAGTACAGCCTTCTTTAACCCTTTGAGGGTCTGTCATGTAGTTCTACAGCTTTGAAGCCAGGGTCCAAGCCGTAGAACTACGGCATGATTCTAGCGGCTTCAGATTTAGCACAAGAAGGCTGGTAAGCATACATCTAAGAGAATGGGTCTGCACGGTTAGTGTGCTCAGTAAACAGAAATATCGAGCACCCACATTGCATTGTGGGGACACCACCTCAGTGCTCTTTGTTGATCATGCCTTGCGGCAAGGAAACTCACTCCTCAGTGAATTGGGACTCTCCTCTTCCCAAGTGATAATTCTGACATTGACAGAAGTGGGTCTGAAGAGGAATTCTATGGTTTTGAACCATATGGTACATTGTACCGTATGGTACAGGGACCCCAATGGAAATAAGTCACTCCAGCATTTTTAGGTTATCCTAGGTTCTCCACACACATACTGCTATGTATGATAATCTCTGTAACTGTATTTTTGTATACCTGAATAAACTTATTTAGAATGCCACATGCATTTGGGTAAGTTCATTCATTCAGGTATACACAAATAGTTACATAATTATCATACAAAGCAGCATATGTGTAAAGATCCTAGGATAACCCAAAAACAGTCAGTGACTTATTTCCATTGGGGTCCCTATATCTGTACCATATGGTACAATGTACCATATGGTACAATGTACCATATGCAATTCCAAGGAGACTTGAGTACATCCCGTGGCCCTACACCTGGAATAGACAGTGAAAGTAACGATGATGTGGCTACAATTGGGATGGATGGACCACATGTGTCAGTAGGTGGTGGTGGTACCACTAGTACACAGCATGCAGCACCAGCCCAGACTGGGACTGAGTCTGGGACCCAAGCTGCTGACTCAGTAGTTCCAGGACAAAGTGCATTATCATCCACCAGTGGAAAGAGACAACTGTGGCAGAAATGTATTTGTTTTTTGCAACAATAATGCTTATGCCTCATGTCTATAAGCATAATATAAAATCATACTGGTCCACAGATGAGTAAGACACCACTGTGCATGACACCTTGTTTTAAAGACTTTCACAGACTGTAGCAATTCTAGGAACATGTCCAGTGACTGTACATATGAAAATATGTACAGAATGGTAGACAGCAACCACCCAGGGAGGTACTACCGTCCTGCCAAGTGAGTGTAAAACGAAAACCTGTAATTGTTTTACATGATGGTAGGATTGCTGGTGTCTTTCGTCTGTCTCATAAATATGCAAGATTACAGGCATGTCTTGCTACTTCTACTTACACTTAGGTCACACTACACATACATGTACACGTTTATTTATACACACTCATCTGAGTTTTCTTTGGTTTTATCTTAATAGTTCTTGGTCTTATTACTTTTCCTTTTATATCCATGGTGAAGTGGAATAAGAATCTTTCCTCCGTAAGCCATGCGTGTTATAAAAGTCAACTAAAATGCCGGGAATAATGGGCTAGTAACCCCTTTTCCTGTAAAGATTACTAAAAAGAATAAGAAGAAGAAAATTGTCAAAGTGGGAAGTCTGAATGTGCGTAGATGTTGTGCAAATGATAAGAAAGAGATGATTGTGGATGTTATGAATGAGAGGAAACTGGATGTCCTGGCTTTAAGTGAAACAAAGCTGAAGGGGGTGGGAGAGTTTCAATGGAGAGGAATAAATGGGATTAGGTCGGGGGTTTCAAATAGAGTTAGAGCTAAAGGAGGAGTAGCAATAATGTTGAAGGATAAGCTATGGCAGGAAAAGAGGGACTACAAATGTATAAATTCAAGGATTATGTGGAGTAAAATAAAGATTGGATGTGAAAAGTGGGTTATAGTAAGCGTGTATGCACCTGGAGAAGAGAGAAGTGTAGAGGAAAGAGAGAGAGATTCTGGGAAATGTTGAGTGAATGTGTGGGGAGTTTTGAATCAAGTGTGAGAGTAATGGTGGTTGGGGATTTCAATGCTAAAGTGGGTAAAAATGTTATGGAGGGAGTAGTAGGTAAATTTGGGGTGCCAGGGGTAAATGTAAATGGGGAGCCTTTAATTGAGCTATGTGTAGAAAGAAATTTGGTAATAAGTAATACATATTTTATGAAAAAGAGGATAAATAAATATACAAGGTATGATGTAGCACGTAATGAAAGTAGTTTGTTAGATTATGTATTGGTGGATAAAAGGTTGATGGGTAGGCTCCAGGATGTACATGTTTATAGAGGGGCAACTGATATATCGGATCATTATTTAGTTGTAGCTACAGTTAGAGTAAGAGGTAGATGGGAAAAGAGGAAGGTGGCAACAAGTAAGAGGGAGGTGAAAGTGTATAAACTAAGGGAGGAGGAAGTTCGGGTGAGATATAAGCGACTATTGGCAGAAAGGTGGGCTAGTGCAAAGATGAGTAGTGGGGGGGTTGAAGAGGGTTGGAATAGTTTTAAAAATGCAGTATTAGAATGTGGGGCAGAAGTTTGTGGTTATAGGAGGGTGGGGGCAGGAGGAAAGAGGAGTGATTGGTGGAATGATGAAGTAAAGGGTGTGATAAAAGAGAAAAAGATAGCTTACGAGAGGTTTTTACAAAGCAGAAGTGTTATAAGAAGAGCA